ATTTAATTAATTATTTCCAATTGTAATTAATTACTGCCACATTTAATTAATTATTTAATGGTATAATTAATTTATTATGTCAGTCCTGGCGTTCCATACTTGGACAAGTAGTACTTTGTTTGCTTTTTGTCTCAGATAAAGAAATACCATATGAAGCTTGTACAACGCAGTGTATTGTTGCAGATTTCATAAAGGTACTGTCTTGTCTTCATGGTTATGAATAGCTGGAGTTTAGCCATTAAGAGATTTCCCTTTCAACGCTTCATGTTGTTTGTGTTCAAAGTGGTGTCATCACTTCAGCATTTAAAAAGTCAAACATAACACCAAGTTCACATATAGATATATGTCCGACCGCGTGCGTGCGTTTCCGTTTTAAGTTACACGACCTCAGGTTTATCTCGTGACCTCCCGAACGGTGTTGAGCATATGTTATAAAGCTGTGAGTCAATGTACAAAAATGCATGTAATGTGTTTAATTATAGTCACGTCCATCAGCAGTAAGATGACACTTGTACATCGATGCATCATAATGTCTACTCTAGTATAAGGACCGACTTTCCGCAAAAAGACTGTCTACTTCTGATTTGTTGCTTATCTATATTTTAATGAACGTAGTTGCTATAAATCGGAAATAAATGATTGAAATTGCCATTTCAATTGCTTTTTTCTAACTGTGTGTGTGTGCGACTGTTGTAGCATTTGTCTTTTCTGTATAAAGACGGTCTAAGTATTTTCTCTGCCGCTGTCCATGGTTCTGAGCCTTGTCATTTGTATTCTGTAGCTATAATTGCTGATATTTCATGTACTGTTTAGTTTATTTTCATTATAATATACCGAGAACATAATTCGCTATTCCAATTTAGTGTATCGACAGGAGTAAACACTACCTTCATGCGATTTCTTTCTTTCTTTCTTTCTTTCTTTCTTTCTTTCTTTCTTTCTTTCTTTCTTTCTTTCTTTTTTGACTTGAAGTTTTATTCAAACGCGGATGTGAAGTTAAAAAGACACATGGTGTCACTGTTGGCTGGAAGAAAAAGAACATGCAGCACTCCACCCATCATGAATTCAGTTTTTTTTTTCATTTATCAGAAACGCTAAATCCTGGGACATAGTTCTGTATAAACTGGTGTGGACTATTGGATTTCTGACTGATTTGGGATACATATGTTGTTTCGCTCTAAATAGCCAGATAAACAAGCGGAAGACGTTGTTTCATTTCAGGATGAGAGACAAAGGATTTTCAGGCCCGATCTATTGCCTTGCTACGTTTATTGTAACGATGCGCCTCGTAAGCGGGGATCTGAGTTATTCTTTTGCCGAAGAGATGAAACGCGACTTCGTTATTGGAAATATAGCTAAGGATCTCGGTATTGACCGTGGAAGTTTTTCTTCACGACAGGCCCGTGTTGATTTTGAAGGATTTCGTAAAATGTATTGCGACATTAACATTAGTACTGGGGATTTTACTACGATGGACAGAATTGACAGAGAGAACCTTTGTGGCAAGAAACCTTCCTGTGTGTTAAAAGCAGATCTAGTTTTGGAAAATCCGTTGGAGCTTCATCGTGTAAGTCTTCATATTCAAGACATAAATGACAACTCTCCACAATTCAAAGATCATTTAATTGAAATGGAAATAAGCGAGTTAGCAGAAAGGGGAAGTCGATTTCCAATAGAGCAGGCCCATGACGCAGATATAGGTCAAAATGCTGTGCAAAGGTACATCTTACAAAAGAACAACCATTTCATTTTATCAGTTGACAACAACAACGTCGATCTTGTACTGGAAAATAAACTCGATCGAGAAAAGCAAAAGGAGATTAATTTACTCATCACAGCTTTGGACGGTGGATCTCCTCAGAGATCAGGTACCGTAGTCATACACGTCACTGTGCTGGATGCTAATGATAACGCCCCAGTGTTCAGCCAGGCCGTTTATAAAGCCAGTCTGCCTGAAAACTGTCCTTTAGATACAACAGTGATTAAAGTCAGTGCCACAGATGCAGATGAAGGAGTGAATGGAGATGTAACGTATGACTTCGGCCATATATCTGACAACGATCATAAAGTTTTCTCTATTAATCCTAAAACTGGAGAAATTAAAGTGTGTGGTTTGATTGACTATGAAGAAAAAAGTTCTTTTGAAATGAAAGTGCAGGCTAAAGATGGTTTAGGGTTAACATCTTATGCCAAAGTTATAATAGATGTTATTGATAATAATGACAACTCGCCAGATATATACCTGAAGTCACTGTCAAATCCCATTCACGAGAATGTGCCACCTGGTACAGAGGTGGGCATCATTAACGTGCAGGACAAAGACTCTGAGAATAACGGGCAGGTCCGCTGCTCCATCCAGCAGGGTGTCCCCTTTAAGTTGGTTCCTTCTATTAAAAACTATTATTCTCTGGTGACCACAGGACAACTGGACCGTGAACTACTGTCTGA